TAATTTTGACCACAATTTGGGTCCTAGATATCTGATCGAGTGCTTACCATATTTCACCGAGTTAAACCTTGGCATTGTTAAGTCAGATTGTCTTAAGTTATACGTACTAGGGTTATTGCTGAAAAAATCACAGAGATAATAGGGGCATAACTTATATTTAACTTTATACATCAAAATAGAGAGGTCTTGAAGTCGTCTATTAAGTAATGTGGGCAGACCGGCCCTCGCGATCACTTGATTATAGCTTGAGCTGTTGTCCTTAAAAACTGCTCTGATGTCTCTTTCTTGTATTCTCTCCAGTTTTCTAGTATCGCTAGCTTTACAAAAGTGCCATACTAAGTGACAGTAGGTAGCCACATTTATAGATCTTTATAGACTCGCGCGGACTCGCCCACGAAATGCCGCCAGCTACGCGGTCCCGGACACATTCTCAAGAAAAACAGAAACGAAAAAACTTCACATAAGGCAGTTCTAAACAATTGACGTACAGGGTAAGGTAGACGTGAGAAATGTAAGGCCCACACTGAATAGAACAGCTAGAAATTAACGTACCGCCGTAGCAAATTTTAGAAAGCGGACGTTTTGTTGGCTACTGCTCTTCATCAGCTTTGGTCCCATGAACAAATAGCTTACGCTCGAAATGTTAGCTTTTTTAAGAAACTACCGCAAATAAAGTTCTGCAAAAAACGGGCCCTTTGGAAAGAACGAATGAATAATTACTTGGAAAGCACCGCGAGCCTAGCATCGGGAGGAATAAGTCCCCAGAGAACCGGAGAGGATTGAGTTCTAGCCACTCGGAACACGTGCCCGTATCTTGGTGCCCGTGGGGTTCCCTCATAAATGACCCACAGTGTCCCTAGACGCTTCATCATAAAAAGATGTCGGCGACTTTGTTGTTGTTGGAGGGTTTCTTTGCGGGAATATTTTGAATGACTAACAGAAGCCTTTCTCGCAAATGAATCAAGAACAAGGTTGTGGATGTTTCGCCTTCGTAGTGCGCGTGTTTTGACTTGTATGTCGGTAATGGTCTGTTTCATGTAAACCCTCATTTCATTGTCGGTCTTTTCTTTCGGGAAGTGTAGGAGGTTTATTGGACAATTTTCAACCCTCTTGCGCTTGCCGACAATATAATCGTAGGATATTCTTTCTGATATAACTTCTTTGAGAATGCCGCCATAGTTAAACCGCTTGGGAAGTGCTTTGGAAACCATTTCAATTATCGAGTGTATCAGCGACTGTGGGGATTCAGACGAAGCTGCAGCAATTTGGAAGCGAAGAGTTCTGTCCGTGCTATGGAAATAGATGAAATAGGTAAGCTTTGAAGTGACGGTGAACTCATTTATTTGAGGCACTAATTGCTGTTTTCTTGCTTACGGATGTATTACCAGTCGCAGTTGTGGGAACTGTTGTTTTTGGGAGTGTAAGCTGCATGACAAAGTAGAATTGTTTTCGTCGAACATCGAAAATACCAAAGCGATGCAATCACGAACTGTTTGGCTGTCAACGAGTTTAGCAGATGGTTTTCTTTAGTTCAAATTCCCTTCTTGTGTTAAATAAAAACAAGTCTGTGTTGATGAGTTTTCTTTATTGAACATGACTATAGGATTTTCAGTCTCAGGAGCATGTCATTATCGTGGAACTTGTGTTTATGTGTGCGGTTCTCGCATGCTTGTTTTGAGTTGTTTTGGCGGAGAGCGTAAAAGGTCTCTCTCACAAATGTTATGACATCCTAATGGAATATTTTGAAGACGTTTGTCATTTACGGCGAGCATTGAACTATTTTCTTGTCTCAGAAAATACTTTAAGTATTTGAAACGATTTTCTTTTCCAAGAACGATAAATTGTTGTAGGCTATTATAACGGCTCTTTGTCATTGTGGTGGCTTTACATTTTACGTTACAGGTACAGTTGTTTGAAGTATCGAACTTTGCGAGGTGTAATTTTAGCCTTATAACCATTCACAAATTTCTTTGAAGCATCAACATTAGAATTCCTTTTGTGCCATTTATTATTCAGAATAACTTTATCGTTAGCTTATATAATTTTTTTCTCTAATTTTTTTCATACAAGATCAAGGGTTTTGTCTCATTTTCTAAAAAAAATCATCAATTTATATTTAGTCATTAGACTGAGTGGAGTACAATTCAGAGGCTATTAAGCTATGTCAGTCAAATGACTTCAAAAGTGATCGTAAATCATGAGCTTAATTATTATTGCTCTCTGAATTTTATGACATAAGATCACATACTTATTGTATTGGAGTTAACACATGTGTGGTACATTCTGTCTAAATCTTGTTCCTTGAGTTCCCCTTTCTTACAGTGCATCCTTGATAAAACAAGCAAGTTTCATCACAGGGTGGATTTTGATTGGTTTAAAAAACAATAGCCAAATTTATATTGGGGGCGAATTATCTGTCTGGGATGAATTAGTTGCCCGAGACAGGTAAATCGTGTAAGTATGAAGTCCAGTGTTGAGACAAATTATGTACCCAAATTGGTCTTCTTCTGATTCGTAGACCACATATTTGTCTAAATGCCCGATTTATTCCCTAGATGATTTATCTGCCTGAGACCGATAAATCGTCTCAGATAGCTAGATTGTCTCCTAATATAAATACGGTGTCAGATAATTCATATCTAGTATGAATTTGGCCAGTGACTGTGGTAATGTGCAAAAGGAAAATTATAGCAACTCAATTGAGCCACGTTTTTGTCAGCTAGGTATACACAAATAAACTGGAAGTCCAACATTTTCCAACTTAAAGTCATAAATTTCCAGGTTTACTCACTTTCAACTGCTGGTCATGGGTTACAAAGACTCTGGGTACGAGGTTGATTCTGCTGTAGATCTTCTTATGTGAACAGTAAGGGAACAGCAAGGGGGAACCTTTCTAAAAGAAAGTAGTGGACCACTTCTATGATGGCATGCTTAATAGATATTTTTTCATTCAAACAAAAAATAGTGAATTTAGTAGAAACATGCAAAGTTTAATAAGAAACCGTTTGCAAACTCATGGAAATATGGACGCCCAAACTTGCCAATTTTTACAAAGAAATGTATACCAGGGGACAAGTGTCTGTTTCCTGCTCATAAAGTATTTGGCCTTATAATTTGTTCATAGAGTGTTATGACTCTTATGACTTTGCGTCATAAGATTCAGGTTAAACATGGGGCAGTTAAAAGCAACCTATCAAAACCTGAAATAGATTAGCATCCCTTCAGGGGCAAGTAGCTTCAGATTAGTTATGCCCAGTCCATCCATGGTGTGAAAAGCCACCTAGAATGAAACCTTTACTTAAAGTTCTAAGCACTTCTGATCCTTGATGGAATGACTCTGAATTTGACCTTTGACTTTAAAAGCTTGACTTATGTTGGTGGAAGTGGTATCGCTAAGGAATTTTTCTGTTTTAAGAGTGAATCCTAATGTAAGCATATAAGCCTACATGATGTTTATTCAGGAGGGGAGTTTCTAGTGTGTGAGTTAGTTTTCTCTTTGGAGAAGGTTTGAAGGGGAGCTTATGTGTACAATCATGTCTTTTCAGTTTTAAGAGCTTATCATCCAAATCTTATGGTCTTATTAGTAGTTGTCAAAGATTAGTGCAGTGCGTTCAATAGTGTATTTAGGCACAGAGACGGCAAGGCATTTTGAAAGATGGCCCGGGGGAACTCATCATTAATCCAAGCACAAACCTCTACTCGCATTTTCCAAAATGTATTTGCGTTGTTCATTTGCACAAACAAAGTTCTTTGCAATGTCTACGGTGCTCAATGTGTCCGTAATAGACTTATGACTGCAGGAGGAGGCAGTTGCTTAGACGATCCTGCTTCTTCTAAGTACTTCTAAGGCAGGTTTGTAGTCTTTGTAGGGCAGAAAATGTGCGCTCAGTAGTCTCCGATGCTGTTCAAAAGTCCTACAAAAGATTATTTTGCCAAGCGCAAGCATGATGATTTGAAATGATTTGTAGAAAGACTACAAAATGGAATATTATGTCAAACCAGCTTTATGCTGCGCTAGTGGTATTTTCGGCAATACTGCCAATACTGCCCCCCTTGCTCCACTGCCTATGATTGGGCACTTTCTGCAAAAGCTGTTTATTTGAAGGGAGAGTATGAAAAATTAATGAGAGATGGATGGGAAGCTGGTGGAAATTTCCATCTCTTAGCTTGGTGGGACATTACATTATTTTGTTGTTAATGGAAAGTTTTTAACTTTCTTTTTAGATGACATTTTTGATAGGAACATTGATCAACTTGATGTAAGAGAAACCCCTAGGTAAGTGACTTAATCTAATTAGAATACAATTTAGGTTTCTGCTTATTGCAGGGGTTTCAGTAAGTTTTTCAGCAGGCGGGCATTAGGCTATGATAACCAGGCAGAAAAAATATAAGGCCCAAAGAGCCTTGCAAGGTGGGTGGAGGGGATTTAGAAATCCTCTAGACTTGCAGAGATGCATTTTCCTGCAATTTGGGAACCGCTTAATTTCCTAAGGGAGATCATTGTATAGGTAACTAAATCATATTTTAATTCCATTGATCAATGGATAAATCAGTTTTCACAATCATTTACTGATGAACTTCATTTGGTTTGGTTGTAATAAGATGAATAAGTCAATGATCATTTGAATTTTTTTTCTAGGTGGGAACTGTCAGAAGAGGAGGAATCAGGAGGAAGTGAAGTTGAGACATTAGTGAATCAACAACAGACTGCGGTGAGTTCAAACACTTCATAAGATATCTGGGTGTTGCAACAAAATGTGCACAAGCTTTGTAACCTCAAACAGAAGCTGCATCCATTCAGTGAAAAGTAAACCCACAATGAGATGGATTGCTGGTAAGAAAACTTGCAAAAATTAAACTCACCTTGAAACATTTACACATGCGAGACTGTAAAGTTCATTTCTATGTTGTAGATGAACATTCTCTGAATTGAAAGGACATTAATTTGACTGCCTTAAAATAGGGTTCCTACATTCCCCTTCCCAGACTGCTGGACAATGGTTTAAAATAACATGTAGAAAAGATGGCTTTCCAACCATAAAAAAACATTCAACTTTGTTCAGAAAGGGTTGCTTCATTAAGTGCACAGCTGTTCCTGAAGATGTTTAGAGATAATCATAGGCTGATAAAGTGATAAATAAGTGATATGTACATATACATGTATGTAACACATCTGAAAAACGGCCAAATTTCAATTTCAATTTACTGTCGGTTGCTCCACTATATTCCTACTTGTGAATACACTTGCAGATACTTTGTATGGCTTGAGTATATAAAACTGCTTATAACTGATGGTTTGTCAAGATGTGCTCATGAACTTTAAACTTAAAATACAGTGTAGTTGAATTTTAGTTCTGGGCTACAAATAAAATGAGTTAACTGTTTAATGACGATGGATCCATGTATGTGTATATGTTGGTGACGTGTTTGCCATTAAATGTACTCACTGGTTAAATTATCAAATTACTAACAATCTTTATAAACTTTTCTTACAGAAGAAATTAAGCAACCAGGTACCTCGACAAGAAATGGCCCAAAGATCCATTCCCACCTCAGCACCTGTTGTAAATCCAGGAAGAAAACTGCCATTGAATCAGAATGGTCCCATCCCAAATATACCACAGACACAAAGCCCTGTTCTGAAGAGAAATACTGACAGCCCAATCAACAATGAACAAATGCCTGGAACTAGTACCAAGGTAATGTTAGAGAAGCCAAATATGTCACCAAAGCTGTACAGACATCCTTTGAACAAGGAGAATATTAACATAATGGTGACGTCTGCATACAAAGAGGAAAGTGATTCTGTCAAGGTAAGCAGATTGGTAATAAAGTGACTGGAAATGCTTTATAAATCAGATTTCTCATCTTTATTGGTTGTCATAAGTTTATTATTCCTAACAGTTGTTTACAATGTATACAAGAACTTATTTTTATAAATAGTTAATTATATAATTTTTAAGGAAGTACTGTAAGAGACAGAATCAGATCAGATCAAATTATTATTTTAATTTTAGATTTTAACTGATTGCTCCTGTCACTCGTGATTGGTTATAACACCATAAACATTCCAGACATATTTTAGGTGTTTACTGTTTTGTGAGTTTGACTGTCATGGGAAGGGGTGTTTTTGGGTGGGGGGGCTGGGGATGGGATGAGGTACTAGTGAAAATGACAGTCCAGCTACATACTAGTCACAACTTGCGGTGTGAAGGTCAGGTTGTAAAAATGATTTTCTTTTCACCCTGGTTCATATCTCCCTTTTTTAATTTTCAGGACTTTGGAGTCAGTGAACGAGGAAAGAAACCAGTTCAGTCAGCCAAACATCAACCAGTTGTCAGCCAAGAACAAAAAGAAACTCCTGATGTGCATGTGTGGGAGGAAGATGATGTTGATTCTGTTAAGGTAACTAATGATGATTACAATCAAAATATTGTGTTCCTGCTCTCGAATCATGCTTAAAATGTAAAACTGTACTCAGTGCACAATTAAAAAATGTTATTAAAAGTAGAATATACAGTGTATCATTCAGTTCCACTGAACATCATCAGCCACAATAAAAATGTGAATGTTAAGAAGGTTTATATGATGTTCACTATGGTCTCGAGGGGGCTAGAATGGTGTCATAGATGTTGGCTAATTAANCGGGCTCCAAAAGAGAACGAAACAAAAAACAGAACGAGACAGTGAGAAGAGCCAATAATTTATTCAATTTGCTCACCGCCTTTGTTAAGTTCAAGTTAAAAGAAGCTTACTTCTGGATAATTTCAGCCTTACAAGCCAGCAACTGGTCCCAAATTACTTTCTGTATCCTTACAAATGTCCTGACTTCCATCTCCAAAAGATTTGGCCGCAATTTTTGAGCAAATAAACGTTTTGCCGATGGCAGTTACCATTATGGTGACTTGCATACTAATTCGCTAACTTTACAAAACCCTCCCGAGGGGGGATATGACGAAAAGAGCTGAAAAATGGCCAGAAATAGGGTAATTTTCTCAGCTTCCGGTGTATCAAATTTGCTGGAAATAGGTTCAAAACCAATTTTTTTTTCGTTTTTTTTTTCCTTCGGGTCACTCATAATCCCATATTATGACATGTGCTGGAAGTAATTACGTCATCGGAGATTTCATAAGGGCTACGACTGATGGTGTAATAATACAGGTTGTGTTGATCAAGTGATGTGGTGTCTGCAGTAATCAATGAATCATCAAGGACTGCTTTGGAATGTGCATTGCATTGCAACTGTAGTGCTACCAAAACAGTTAACTTTTAAAAGCGCAGTTGTAAGATCTAAAAGATCTTCTTGTTCAAAGCTAATGAACACTGATGATTAGTGTTCCATTTAAATCTTAAGCCATTTGTTGTATTATTTTGACAAACAGATTAATTAACAAACTACTATTGATATTTACTGAAAGACTAATCGACTCTCTATTTTTTTGTTTCAAGGATTTTACAGGAAATGATCGACAGAAGGAAGAAAAGTATATGGAGAGAACAGATGAGGTGATATATCAGCGAGCTGCTGAAGAGCACATAAGAAGACCACCTCTCTGGCATGATGACGAGGTGGATTCAGTCAGGGTGAGCCTTTTTCTTTTATGTATAGTTGTACCCTCAGTTACCATTCATAGGAATATATCTTCCAATTTAATCCATTTTGATTGCAAAGAAAAACGAGCAGTGCATTGCTTGCATGATGCAAAAGCTGCAGTGGAAACCTTGATTTTTTTACCCTCACAACTGTTTTAAGCTTCTTTTCGCTCTCTTGACAAAAAGTTTGATGGGGAAAATTATCCTCAATATTTTTAAACTACATGTGCCTAAGTTTTTGAACCAGTTTCCATTCCCAAAGAGTAAGGCAGTTAAAAGAATGGGATTTCACCATTCTGTTACATGTAAAACTTGGATGAGTTTTAGTCACTTTTCACCTTCCTTACAGAATTGTTATAGGAAGGTTTTAGGGTTCAAAGGGGAACAACCAAAATCCTCACCGTACTGTCTGTCTGCCTGGATATTTTCTGCAGGACTTAATTCCTGACATATTTATACCCTGTAACCTCGTATGATTGTCGCTCACATTGGCTTCAGTGGAACTTTAGGTAGCTGAAAACAGTTTTTTTTTTATGTCAAAGCTTATGTCTTGCTTATCCTAACTACCAGGACTTCAGTCGTGTGTCTGGAAAACAAGAACCCCCATCAGGCTTGGCCAGTCAGCAATTGAGCAGGCTTCCATCAGATGAGCACATATGCCTGTCTCCCCCCTGGAATGAAGAGGATGATGGGCCTGTAAGGGTAGGTTCACTGTTTGACTTCTCAGTTATTTTACTGTTTTCTTTTTGCTTCTGTTGGTGATTACATTACTTGTTACCTGCTTCAAGAGTATTAAACAAAGACCAAAGCCATTATACTTTCACACCAGAATTATAATGTTGTCATTAAGGGGTGGCAAATGGTCCTTTAAAAAAAACAGCTTACCATGTCAATTTTGTTATGCAATCCCCCTTGATTTTAAATTGAAAAAACTGTAAGACTAAAAGGTCCTATTCTAGCAGATAAGATATTAATGTCGCTCCTCACAAAGCCTTGGTTTTACCATCTGCACCCCCTCCCTCCCCCCCTCCCCTCTTCATGTGGTGTTCTCAACTGCATAGGTATTGACAATATGTTAAGTTGACTGGTTGACTGCTTGGAGTTTTTCATCTGCACATGTATGTATGCATCTGCAGTTACACACTTCTGATTATTTGACAGCAGTCAAGATTTTTTGGACATGAAAGGTGGCATCGGCTAGTGTTGATGGTCACTGTGTTTGTTGTCTACAAGTTTTTGACAGTTACTCGAGTTCTTATTCAATGAAGCTTAAATCATCTGCATTTCTTACAGCCTTTTGTAACAGATGAACCAGTGGTAAAGAACTTTAGTATCAATAATATGGTGATGGAGGAAAGGATGAGACAGGGGCAGCCACCGCCCTGGCATGAGGAAGATGAGATAGACTCCACAAGAGTGAGTACAAACATGTTGATGCTATAAACTGTAAACTATAAAGGAACATCAAACAGTATTTTTTTGATACACTGACAGGGTTCTGTTGTAGATCAAGGACAAGCAGTTCTTACATTGTAATTTTTCGCTATGAAAGATCCTTAGATGTAGTTTGTCCAAAATTTTGAAAAAATTCTATTTGATAATTCGTGAATGAGCATTTTAGCAAAGAACATGGGATCTAGAATTATGATTATTGAATAACTCACTGGAAAACAGATTTAACATTTTGAATGGCAGCCTGTGGAGATATTAATTGAAGGCTTTCGTGCAAAAAGGGCTTATGTAGCATTTTGGGTCGATTTTTATTTTTTGCAGGATCGAGCTAATTTTCGGCA